AGTAGGAGTCAAGGCAGGTGAGCCAATACTTTTGGTCATATAGTGTAGCTCTTAGCATGTTAGCAAATGCGCCCCATCAATTATCTCAGCTTAGTCCAGTAAGCCCAAGCCAAGAGTGTTCTGTCTGACTTAATTTAGTAAACCAGAGGTTCCCATAGTTGGGGGCGGGCCTTTAGGGGGCCGGGGGAGTCCCAGTACCATTGCAGGTGGGACCTGAATGGAATGAACGAACGAGACATAAATGCACAACAGCAGGAGAACATTTTCTTCTGAACCAAAGGGGGGCCCAGCAGAGAAAACATTTTCTTCTGAACCAAATGGGGGCCCAGCAGAGAAAGTTTGGCAACAATACCAAACCAATTCAATCCGATTAGTCAATAACTTGATCCATAAATTGGGAACTAAATCACAGTCCAGACCGGGAATATGAGTGGAATTGATTGTGCTTTTCTTCATATCCACAACAGGTGGTTTGCGGAAAATGCTCCGAATTCCGTGCTCGTTTGTCATACGACAACAATCGGACCAATCGTGTCTGCATGGACTGCTATGCCACTCTGGTGGGTGTGTTTCCTTCCGTTGGAATGTTAGGCTCTAGCACACAGAGAAGGCGATCCATCTTGGAGGTTAGTGTGACAGCCCCATAACGTGAATATGTGATCGCAGCAAAAGCGGATGCTAACGATCTCACTCCTCTTGTCTTCTTTGTTCTCATAGAAACAGGCCTCACTTGCAGCGGAGAATAGCGTCATGTGTAGTTTTCTTCAACACATGGAAAAAGGAAGTGGGCGGGGCTGGCAGAGGGCGTGGTTCGTCATCCCTGAGAATGAGCCGCTGGTGCTTTACATTTACGGAGCGCCACAGGTACAGACAGTCTTCTGATTGCAGAAGTGTTAGCTAAAGATGGCCAGAAAGACGTTTTAACAGTTGTGAAAAATATCAGAAATTTGGAAAAAAAGTTCTTTCAGAACAGCTTTATTATTAAATATAGTCCATAAATAGAATTGCAATTTAACCAAGGCATATATTACTTCTATGGTTGCCAACAGAAACTACAAATAAAAAGATTTCATCTAATTGATCACACAAGCTTTGATTGTTAGAAAAATATAGTTGTAGCTTCATCAGAAAAGTTAATTTATTGGTAAAAAAAAAAAAAAACGTAAAAAAAAAAGTAAAATATGCCAGAAAATGTTCCCAAGTTGTAAGGTAAAAGGTAGCACCCAGTAAAATTATGCCAGAAAATTTTCCCAAGTTGTAAGGTAAAAGGTAGCAAGTCATAGTTTAAAAGATGGCTGTAGAAACTGCCGTAAAATCAACAAGGCAAATAAACTTACAAGAAAAAGAGACAACACATTTATCTACAATAATTCTTTTCAACTACAGTGGAACCTCAAGATACGAGCATAATCTGTTCCAGGTAACTCGTAACTCGAGGTGCTTGTATCTCAAATACTTTTTCCCATAATTCCTGTGATATAAAATAAAATGTGGTTTTTAATTATGAGTTCTTACCTTCGAGACAGACGATACAGTAGCGGCTAATGGCGGCATGTGCGGAGGGAGGGAAGAGAGTTGACCCGTACGTACTTGATTCCCTACTGTTAAATTTAGTATTAACTTAACTTACGTAATTTTTAGCTAGCTAGCTAGCTAGCTAGCGAGATAGATAGGTAGATAGATAGATAGATTGTCCTTTATTTATCTTTGGGGACTTCCCTTTTGGGAATTAGCAGGGGGATATAAAAATGTAACTAAAAGTAAGATGTTAAGATGGCTCAAGGTTTAAATGTATTAAAATAATGTAACTAATATACCAAAAAAAAGTTTAATATAACAAAAAAAATGTTATGGGAGAACTAGCTAAAACGTTTAAATATTACTAAAAATTAGGCCAAAAATAGTTGAAAACATTTTTCAAAGTGTTTGCAATAAAAGTATAATGTTGGTGACGTTATCCCTGATGCACTGCGAGTGATTTACTCTCCTGTGGGTTTTTCCAGGATGTGAAGGCACAGCGCAGCATACCTCTGATTGGCTTTGAAGTCTCTTTACCTGAGTCATGTGACCGCCTGGAGCGACGTCATGCTTTCAAAATGTCTCAAAGTCACTTGACCCTGTACTTCAGTGCCGAGGGCGAGGAGGTACAACAGCGCTGGATGGACGTTTTGTCCAGGGCGGGTCGGGGGGAGGAGCCTCATCCACAACAACCGCCAATCATAGAGAGCCTCGAGGAAGAGGGGGAGGAGCTAGTGGCTTTGGAGATTGTACACACATGATTATATTGGACAAGAAACCCAAACAGTGAAGATGACGGGGCTAAATGAGGCCCGTTGGTCGCTTTTAAACGCAAACACACAACACACACACCCCCCACCCAATATTCTAACAGTTATATAAATTTGCATGACCTACCTGCTGTAAAACACGAGATGGTCCTGGTCCATTTGTCCATCTTGGTGCACATTGTTGTGGGTGGAGTGTCTTGAACCACAGTCCATGTTTACTTACGAGCGGCCCGAGAGGATTCTTTAACATGAGGACGCTTTGCATCTCTCTCTGTGATTTAGATTGATGTTGTTAAAGAATTTGACTGCTTTCTTCACCTCACACGATTGGTTGAACTCGACTGCCAGTCTGAATGCTGCAGCTTTTTGTCCTATTCATGAAGTGTGGTACTGGAACACTGTCTTTATAATAGTGAAAAAAAAACAGAAAAAAAAAAACGAATTTACAATTTACAACCGGAAAATATGTTAATATTTGATCGTATTGTTTATCGAGTTAATTACTCATGTTTATACTATATGTAATTATTTAAACATAAAAGATTGCACAAACAGAAGCGACATAACTAAAATAATAAAGGTCTGGTGTATTGAGCGACACAGTGGTGAAAGTTTACATTGCAACGAGCAATGGATTGGCTTGTCTTGCTAGAGACATCCAAACCGAACAAAAAGTTTATTGATAAAAAAAATACTGATTTCTCTTACAGGGACAGGTGATGGTGATGAAGGCAGCACTTAATGAACAAAAACAAAAGTGTCCTTGTAATGTCAAATCAGTCATTTTTGGTTTGAGAAGTGATTTTAGGTCCTCTCATCCAAGAGGCTTCTTCAGTTCTTTTTCTTTAAATTTCAAAATATGGTTATGTCCATCAATTTATTTGCAGTCTTTAAGACTAAAAACTAAAGTTCTGTCCACATTTAGAACGGTGTTTAAAAGCATACATGTTTATGGTTTATCCGCTATATGCGAAAAGCTCTCACAAAAGACGTTTTTTTTGGCTTGTGACTATAATGAACAACAGTGTGTGATATGGTCAAATTTGTTCACTTGCTGAAGGTGTCTTTGCGAATTGAACACGAATCGTACTCAGATTGTGTCATTTTAAAGATAAGGGATGCTGCAACACTCCTGCAGAAAACTTACCATTTTGTAAAAAAAAAAAAAAAGGTTTTAAAAAAAAAAAAACAAACAACCTGTAACTGAGAGAAAAGGGTATTCGTCCTGTAGTAGCACCTCCTTTCTCTCCTCAGAAGCATTTATTTTATAATTTACCAGCATCCTAGTTGTCAGATCAGATTCAAATGAAGTGAAATGTGGCTTTGATAGTTTTTGCCTAATATTTTATGATTAATAATAGACCATCTTTAACTTATGTTACTTTTCCCTCAAAAGTTTTTTTTTAATTAATTTAAATTGTAATTTAAATAAAGATTTAATATGTTACAGTGTTGTGTATCGTCTTGTCATTTGATGTAGATAGATGATCATCATTGCAATGTGAACAGGTTTATGAATAGTTTAAATAGTTAAATAAATAAACAGTTACCATCCAACTATTCATCCATCCATCCATACATCCATCCATGCATCCATCTAGCCATCTATCTATCTATCCATCTATATGTCCAATTTACGAGTAAGTAACTTTTGCAAGATTTTCCTTGTTATGTAATACTTGGGTTATAAAGATATTCACAACACTAGCACCTTAGAATTGTATAATTTTTGAAAAATAACAATGCTATCTCATCATGCTAATCTTGGATGAGCTTCCACAGTCCGTGCTGCAGGATTTAGTTTGGAATTTGATTGACACTTCAGCCCAGTTACACCAATTTAGGGTGACTAAACTATAGCCAAATGCTTATACCACTTCTGTTGTTGCTTCAATTGGCTATACAGTAACTACTTAGTTCAATGAACGTCTAGTTACACCAGTTCACTAAAGACAAAAAATGAAAGATATGGTTAGAAATAAAATGTGTTTAAAGATGCTACTGCAGTTGTGACTATTATTGTAGTCGGTGTAATCCCAAAACTTTCAACTTATGTGGCTATTACTAGTAGTTCAACCACCGCACTACTACCCAAAGGTGGGACCAAGTCATTGCTTTGCAAGTCACAAGTAAGTCTCAAGTCTTTGCACTCAAGTCCGAGTCTAGTCTCAAGTCAAGACAGGCAAAGTCCGAGTCGAGTCCAAGTCAAAACTGAAAAGCGTCAAGTCAAGTCCCAAGTCCTGCCGTTTCTGTTTCGAGTCCTTTCGAGTCCTTATATAAAATAAAATAATAATATATTCACACAGATCACTTTGGGTTTTTGGAGAAATGATCAAGTCTTGTCGAGTCAAAGGGCTCGAGTCCAAGTGAAGTCACGAGTCATTGATGTTAAAGTGCAAGTCGAGTTGCAAGTCTCTTTACATTTTGTCAAGTGGAGTCCAAAGTCATCAAATTGATGACTCGAGTCTGACTCGAGTCCAAGTCATGCGACTTGAGTCCACACCTCTGCTACTACCCCAATGTTATCGCTACTATCACTACACACTACTACTGCAACTGCTACTACGGCTACTATTACAACTATTACAAAATAATAATAAATAAAAATGTAATTATAAACAAAATCGGGCTTTTAAAATGACATAAAATAGCATCGGTTGTACTATTATCTGACATACTGGTAACATTGCGATGCACACTTGATGATGGTAATTAACTTAAGGTTTGTTTGCCAGCCACAAAGAGGATACACATGACCCAATGAATGATCTCAGTGCAACAAGAACGTTTTGTGAATGAATGAAGGAGAGAGTGTATTTTTTTTTTTTAACTTCCTGGTGACAGCTAAGAACTATTTTTAAAAAGAAGACTGAAAGGTTGATAAATCCCGCCTTCTTTTTTCTGTCACTATGGTTCAGATGGGATGACCTGAAGCACCAATCAACAGTTCGCGAAAACAACAAAAGACTTAAAAAAAAAAAAAAAAGTCTGACTCTTCGTGAGACCATGAAGGCAGCACAAGCAAATCATTGTCGAGCACACCGACTTGCTTCTTTTCATTGGTCAGCAGAGAAATCGTGGGGAACGCGATTGGTCCTCCCGCATTGGTCATCCGCGTGTTGAAGTGTCTGAACGAGTTCAGGAAGCGGGCTGAAGAAAAAAAAAATCTGGTACTCTTTTTGGTTCTGGTTGGAGGCCAATAAAATGTCTGCCGACAGCCCGGAAAATCTTCTGTACGAAGAGACGGGGAGAACCGGACCCGAGCTGGAGGAGGACGAGATCGATCAGCCGCAGGCGGTCCTTGTCATCCTGGACTCGACTGAAATACTTAATCTGGTCCAGTGAGTTCGTAACCCCTGGAATTTACTGTTTCTGCTGCTGCTCTTAGTGTGTTGTTTGTTGAGTTAAAGCCCTATTTTAAACGCACATTTTGACTAGCACAGTGATTGAACCTCTTTCAAACACGTTTTAGACATGTCGATGACTTCATTCATTCCTTAACCAAGTCGCCGACGTCACACATTATGCCTCTTGTGTTAGGGATATATTTACAAACAATCACGAATGTAACTGCTAAATGTAAATATCTTAAAAACTATATTATATCATACGCTTGTTATTATGAGACGTGACACATGTGGAACAAAATGCAAAACATTTCAATTGCATTTGTTTAGTGATAGCGGTTGGCTACCTAGGTAAATGTTAAAATGAAGACAATTTAAAGTTTGATTATAAAGGTATTCGATTAAAACTAACCGTGCCACATATCGTATATCAATAAGAGTGTGACGTACTTTATAGGAGGATTGACGCTTACCGCTCACATCTAAGCTTAAGATTCGACTCAAAAAGGCTAAATAGCAAAAAAACAAAACAAAAAACAACAAACAAGCTAGCTAAAGGCTGGATGAAAATTAGTGTGAAATTGATATAATATAAAAAATATAATATTGAATATGACACAAATTTACGGGATGAAAATTAATGTGAAATTGATATAATATAAAAATATAATATTTTGTATAATATTGAATATGACACAAATTTACTCATTTGAAGTTTTCGGTTGTATGTTTTTGTAATGGAAAGTGTGCGGCAGTGGTGAAAGCCTGTGGAGCTTTTAAGGTTGTTGTTTTTGCTTTTTGAACTTTTACCTCTGACCCTCTCTACACGCACACACACACACACGCACACACACAATATCTGGTAATTCCCAGGGGAAACACAAACTCGCTCAGTGCTCTCTGGTTAGCTGAAATGGAGACACAAAGACATTGTGTCATTTGTGCCCAGTGTGTGATATGATACAATTAGTTATGATGATACAATGACAGACATAAAATGTATAACTTAGTATCATAACCAAAAAGATGAAAACATCAGCTATCACAGACTCGTGTTTCACAAACCTTTTATACACTTACTTTTCTCTTATATCAATTTTTCAGAATTGTTTTTAATCTGGAAAGACTTTACGATACACCGGTGAAGGACTAAATTTACTACGGGCAGACACATTTAATGATTAATTGTGTGTAATAATTAGAAGATTTATTTAATTGTGGTTATGTTTGTAAACATATCATTGCTTCAAATTCATCTAATTTCTTTCTTGCTGAAGTCTAAGGTTGTTTGTTTGTTTAAAGTTGTATCTGTAATGGCCTTTAAAATTTTTTTTAAAAAAATCCTTGTGCTGCTCCTAAACAAACAAATGAAAGCACTGACTTTTATAACTGGTCTCAATAGTTATGTTTATTAAGTTATTGCTACAGGCTTCTAGAGAATCGGTTCAAAAGAGAAGAACAAATACCACAAAAAGACTGACGAATCTGCAAAAAAAGAGACCAGGATGTTTGAGAAGTGCAGAGTCAAACTGCTGACTATTGATTTTATTGCAGTGGGGGAGGTTCTTCACTGTAGACTTTGGTGAGTAAGAGAGAGAGAGAGAGAGAGAGAGAGAGAGTGGAAAAAGAAAACGCACACACTGGTAACACCCACAGCAGGTCTATTATCACCTTAATAGAGTTGATCGAACAACTGACAGCAAAATACTTGTCAAGTCTTTACAGTTTGGCACTTTTTGCTAATCACTCATTGTCCACAGTAAAGTCACATGTCGTGTAGCCAGATTAAACAAAGTTAAACTTTTAAAAAATTAAATTAAACTTTTGCCAACAGTATATAGTGGCTGCCAGAATAGGCCCACATTTCTTTATTAGATTTATTAGACACTTCTTTAATACCGATGTAAATATTAACGTTATAAAAACGGGTGCGTGATTCAGAAAATGCCGCGATTCGATTCAGCATTGATTTTTAGACTCAAGATTCAAAACCGAAACAAAACTGAAAATGTTTGCCTTTAGCTACAAATGGCTGGTCTGAGGTAATTGGTAGTACAAAAAATGGATGATGGCGTGACATATGAGTTCACACATTTGTTGTATTTCCCAAAATACTTCACCTTTTTTTTTGAAAATTCTAAAAAGAATTTTCCTTATCGAGGTCTGGCTTCCCCTCGAGGCAGTAAAATCCTAAATCCTCCCAAACACTTGCCTTTAGTGAGGATGGGGCAGGCTGAATTGTTTTTTCTTTAACCATCTATTGAGAACTAAGTCGTTAAAAAATATTTGAATGTGAATCGTTTTTGTTTTTTTTTCACCCCAATTATAAATATCTGATATTTATAAACCCAAACAAATAAGCTTATAACTATGACATATTTTGGGTGAAAAATGAAAAAAAAAAAAAAAAATGGAGTGACTGTTACTAGTGCTACACGATTTCCATCATTTGAAAATGTGCAATTGTGGACAATGTTGCAATTACAATATAAATGAATGATGTCATGAGTCTATATGACATCATTAGCGATAATGATAGTTTTTATATTTCTCAACTCTCAACTCAATACATTTAAATATGAAACAAAAAATACAAAACCTGCAGATACTGTTTTTATTTATAACTTAATATATAAAAAAAAAAGTTCAAAAATAAAGCTATTTGTAAGAACAAATCCATTTCTGAAAAGTGATAAGGCAGTAACACAATTGTAAACCTAAAGACCTTTCTGTTGGTGGTTTGGTAAACCTTCCAATTACCACTTGATAAAAATAAATAAATAAAATAATAGAGGTATTTTCGCAAGGTTCAACTTGATAATTAAAAAAAAAAAAAGAATCTATAGTGGTTATATTTTTATTACTTTTAGTGTGATATATGTGACATATTTCAGTAAAAGTTGTAGTAGGATACATTTTTTAGCCCATGTGGATGTGGCTCCACATTTGTTTACACTAAATTGTTATGTAATCACAAAGCGTGACATCGCGATTGCAATTGCGGTTTTGATTAATTGTGGAGCACTAATAGGTACCCAGCTGTAAATAACAAGATAGGTAAATATACAGCCGGTCCTCACTTATCAACGTATTCATTATACAATGACTCAAAGTTACGGCGGGGCTTTTCGAAAGTATGTGGTTAGCACCAAAGATTCGCTGTTATGGTGACCGGAATAAACCGGCAGTGGAGTTGTGAGTGACTACGAACATATGTACGTGCATACCTGGTGGAGAGATTCGGGAGATAGCACAGGCAGCGTTAGCCTCACCCATCTGACCAACTCACCCACCCAGTCCTACGTGTCTTGTGCAGTCCAACAGTTTCACAAGTGTTCTCTTCAATTTGTAAAGTTATTACAAAACGGAACAATTTCATCCCCCTCATGATGTAAAACTGGAAAACGCACGACCACACCTTCTCCTGCTGGTTTCATTTTTGAGAAGCAACAGAAAGCCATTGGTCTAGACATGTGTTGTAGCTTCATTTACATTTGATTTTGGATTTTCAGTACTTGGGCTAAATACTGTACTGTAAAGTACATACATTATTATTATTGTTTGTTTTGTATCTTATGTCACTTTGTATTAATAAAATGTTACCAAAGAGAAAAAGAGAAAAGCTAAAATAGTACAGTATAAATGGCCTCGGCACAAAATCGCGGGCAAGTTGACGTCAACGGGGGTTTTGTTTAATGACGAAATTGTTTAATGACGGGGTCTTCTGAACATAACTCTGTGTTTAAGTACGGACCAGCTGTACAACAGATGTGGAATAGCGCCACTATGTGTGTCCAATTCCTTTCTTAGGAATGTAAGCCAGAGTAATAACCTGCATAACTATTTTCCGTCATAGCTGTGGCCCCTCTGTAAGGCACTTGAGAAGTACAGTATTCCAGAGGTGTGGACCCGAGTCTCATGACTTGGACTCGGGTCAGACTCGAGTCCTCAATTTGATGACTTTAGACTCGACTTGACAAAATGTAAAGAGACTTGCAACTCGACTTGGACTTTAACATCAATGACTCGTGACTTCACTTGGACTCGAGCCCTTTGACTCGACAAGACTTGATACTTTCTCCAAAACCCAAAGATTATAAAATAAGTTATTAAGGAGCGCTCTGTATCTCTCATTGTGTACGTGTGTGCGTCTGTGTGTGTATATGCTGTCGGCACAACATCCAATCAAATTAGACCCACGTTGTTTTGACGCAATAATATCGAGCCAAACAAATTGCGGGACAACCAATGAGAAAGAGCTGTCGAACAATGCGCGGGTTCGAGAAAACTATACCAAAGATCGTGTTGTTCGGATTTAAAAACTCTGATATGGTCAACAAAAAACGAGTGGCAGTGAGTGGAAGGACTCGAAAGGACTCGAAAACAGAAACGGCAGGACTTGGGACTTGACTTGACACTTTTCAGTCTTGACTTGGATTCGACTCGGACTTGGCCTGTTTTGACTTGAGACTTGATTCGGACTTGAGTGCAAAGACTTGAGACTTGCTTGTGACTTGCGCAAAGCAATGACTTGGTCCCACCTCTACAGTATTCCCTCATATTAGAGAAAAAGCTTTGCCTTACATTGCATTCTCTTTGAATCTCTTTAAATACTTCTTTGTTGAAAATCGCAGACCATTTAATACTGGTGATGCTAACGTTTGGCCTAAAAGAATATAAAAAAATAAACATATTCAGCTGTAAAACAGGTTAATTACTACAACCGATTCACATACTTTCATTCTTACTGTACAGTAAAGTAAGGTGTTATTATTAATATGGAATACGCATCGCAGTATGCCTGTTAGAACTATGTGTTCATGCAGATTGGAGCAGCTTTAAAAACATATCTGTGGAAGAAGGTTCCTGATTGGCTGTTTTTCCTCTCTGTCAGGGTGGAGTCTGGGATTGTGGCTGACATCGAGCTGGACATTTTGCTGCCATCAAGCTGTGATGCCTACTACCAGATCAAAAGTCAGCCAATTAGCAACAGGTGACACAGACACAGGCACAGACACAAGCGCATAGAACTTGTTTTTGTTCATCGAAACACTCAGTTCTTATGCATTTTTTTTTTCTCATTCCTAAGTACGTTAGCTGGAACTTTATCTTCTCCATCGTTATCTTCCTCACAACCGTCAGTGATGTCATCCAGGTAATACATAGACGCACACACACACATAAACATACTCTGGTCTAACACAGTTTGAACATTTCCATTGTTTGAATGCAATCTTTAATCCAGAGTTCTGTCATCTTTTTATCCCCCACTCTTCTTATTCCTACTCCTTGTCTTTTCCCCCACCATCAGGGTTTTGATGCGCCAGGACCTGATGCGTCAGCAGGCTCTGGAGGAGGAAGAAAAGGAGACGCAGCAACAACACAAGCTCCGTCTAGCAGACTCTGTCCCTTCCACTTCGTCCCCCATATCTGTATCTGTGTCCTCCTCCTCCAGAGCTCCTGCTCAGGTTCCTGTGGAGGTGCTAAAGGTATGAGGAGGATGATTTAAAAAAAAAAAAAAAAAAACTGTTTAGTTGTACATTTCAATGACATTGACTTGACATTTCCTGCAATGGAACTGTGCTACAGGTGCAGACTCACCTGGAGAACCCAACCCGTTACCACATCCAGCAAGCTCAGAGGCAGCAAGTACGCCAGTACCTGTCCACCGCACAGGGCGTCAGTGCCACTAAAACAGCCAATGATCGACCAGCTCCAGCCTTGCCAGTCTTGCCAGTCTCCTCTTCCCAACTGAGTTTTGTCCCCCAGCTGACTGCCGTGGACCGTAAACAGGAAGTGAGATCATTGTGCACTCTTTTGTAGATAGTGATGTTATTGTTCGAATAATGATTTCTAACAACTCCGACCTCTGATTGGTCGTTTTAGATGGAAGAGATGGTCATTGATGACATCATCAGATTGGAATCAAGTCTCAACGATGAATTTCTGGCATTTAATGATTCCGGACTTCAGATTGCTAACACGGTAATAAACCAAATTTAGACTTGAGTCTGATGAAACCTAACCCTTAATTCAATTTGTTGTGAAAATGAGTACCGTAATTTCTGGACTATTGAGCGCACCTGAATATACGCACCCACAAAATTTCAAAAGAAAAAAAATAATTGGACATATACAGGCCGCACTTCTCTATAAGCCACAGGTGTCAGTGTTGTAACGTGTGATATTTACACAGAAAGTTTTTATTTTTTTTCACTTTTAATTAAATAAATGCTTTTTTCCCCGTGTGCCTGTTACACAACTGGTTACACGTTAGCTATGTCCTGCTACGGCGCCCTGACCGCACAGAGGACACTTAGTCATCTGTTCCAGGGCTGAAGCTAACATTAGCTCCGGGGCTAACTCCCTTCGCTTTGTGCTTGTCCACCGCAGAGGTAAACAGAAACAGGGAAGTTGGGGTCTTTATTATCAGCCCCATCGACCGCAACAGAACATAAACAGTGTTTTAACCCTTTCATGCATGACGGTCACTACAGTGGACAGCTATTAAAATGTCATTTTCTATGATAAGAATAGGTTTTGAAGGCAGTGTTGCATATAAGCCTCTACAGTGGATTCTCAGGCGTCCACTGTAGAGGCTTATATGCAAAAAGTGGGAATGTTCAAGCCAGAGGTGTGGACTCGAGTCTCATGACTTGGTCTCGAGTCAGACTCGAGTCATCAATTTGATGACTTTATACTCGACTTGACAAAATGTAAAGAGACTTGGA